CCAAACAATAATTCCATAGTTAATTCTTGATTGTATCTCAGACCAGAGCAGTCTAGAATTCTTTTCAAGTTTCTTAACATGTAACACTTCTTATTGAGTATTTTAGTGAGATTATCGCACTGCTGACGGAAATTGAGATTGCCGTCTAGAAAAAGCCCTAAAAATGTTAAACTGTCAACCCTTTCCATTTCAACACCGAATATTCCAATATTAATGTTTACCGTATTAATATTTTGGGCAGTATGAAAAGCTACTGCTTTCGTTTTGAAGGCATTCAAAAATAATAAATCTTCTCTGAACCAGTTTTGCTAGTTATCGAGAGATCAGAGTTTATATTTTGTTGTAATTCAGGCAAATCTTTTGCTTTGAATTGGAAGGAAGAATCATCAGCATACAAACAAGTGAGTGACTCTTGCAAAACAGATGGCAACTCATTGATATAGAGAATAAAAAGGATTGGCCCCAAAACTGATCCTTGGGGAACACCTATGTCATTATTCAACTGATCGGAAAATGAAGTTTCGTACAAGAGCTATACAAGAGCTTCCTCAGGCGTGGAGAATGTACTATATAGTGAAACACGTGTTACACTTTTGTAAACTGTCCTATAAAAATGTCACAATAACTGGTTTCTTGAATCAACATTTTTCCTTGAATGTTGATATTATGGAATCAATGTAAATCATTATTCTTTTTTTTGTATTTCAATGTATCACAATGAAATCAATACTGACCATTTCGTGTTTGAGTGATGTTTGCTACAACCAATATCGATAAAATTTGGAGTCACCCATGGATTAAATCTATGATGAATTGTTGAAAACAAAACAAAATATAATGGAATTGTTCAGTATTGCATATTAATTGCACGAATTGTTTTTACATATTTATTGGACTTGTTCATACGAAATACTGACAAATTCCATCGATACGGATTATGCAATCGGAATATGTATTACGGCTGTTGTCATCGTGAAAGTTTTATCACGGAAAGCGGAAAAACTGTGGCATATTGGCTCTTTCGAAAAATGATGGCGGTCTATTTTTTTCAGCAAGCTTTCATATAGAAAGAGAAAAAATATTATTCCCTCCTTGAAAACGATATGAAGGATCACATCTTCTCGTGGCAACCATCGCAGCATTTTTATTCCCTGTACTGGTTTGCATAGGTTCATAGGTTATCTTTTTTCAAGGACAAAACACAAGTACCACAGGATTCACATTGAATTTGAATTGCTGGAGATTAAATCCAGTTTTCCAGATGAAAGAAACCTCAAACAGTGAAGTTCGAGATGTACTGAGTTGAACCTCAAAACGATGAGCAGGCACAGTTCGTCGCGTATTTCTGATATGTACCGCTCTTGGTAGAATCAAATGTGCCAAGTCACTTGCAAATGGTCTTTTCCGGTTTACGTCTTGTGAAAGTGGACGTGAATTGTAGGGGAGACCGGGGCAAGATGAAGTTCGGGGCAGCACGGGAAGTAAGCTTGTGTGCGTGAATAGTAATCGTGTTCGGAGCGGCGACAGCGCCATTTGCACGAACTTCACTCTCCGCTAGTGTGTCCAAGCAGAGCGAACAGGTTAGAACTCGTTTTTGCGTTGCAGAGAGAAAAAAGTGATATTGCAAGTGTTTTTACGCGATATTTGATTCGAAAACTGATGTAAGTACCTGTGTTGATGTATTATTTCAATCCCGAGCTTATTATAGTAGTCCAAAACATTAAATTCAAACCAGATTTTTTCGCCTCATCTAAAAATGTACTCGAATTATATGTAGGTGATCCAATAAAACTGACAATTGGGCGTAATGGAATATTTTCCTTGTGTACTTCACAGTCCTGAAGATGAAACAATGAAGTTTCGAAACTTCGACAATTTAGAAATTGGTTTTCTTCAACATTTTGACCGAATTCCCGCCAACTTGACAATCAAAATACGAATAATGTTCATCATGCCAAGCCTGGGCTTCAGCAGTATTTTTTTCACCAAATAGCAATGCTTTATCAACACACAAATTTCCTTTGTATAATTTTTTTCGAGCCAACAAAAGTTGAAATATCTTCTACGTACAGACAGCGGCGATTCGTTACACTGTCATAGAGTGCGAAAGTAAATAAGTTTCCCCCGCCCTCCTAACTTTCGAACGGGGCAAGATATCAGAATCGGGCAAATCCGATGAACAAGCAGGCCGTTATAGAGTCAACTCCGGTGAACGAGCAGGCCGTTCTAACGGACCACGAATACCAATACACAAGCTAGGTTATGTCTGAACCAACAATGTCTAGCAGGACTGGAAAATGTTAACAAATGGGGGGACCATTTTCATCCGCAGTGTACATATTGTTTCAATTGAAAGTTTCCGTAGCAGAGTATAGAAGGAATGTTCCCGCTGAAGTTGTTTATGGTTGATTTTCTATTAATTATCTACCGTGGATTTGAAACAAAACTGTACCCATCAAAATCGTGACACTTCACCACAAAGCGTGTTGAAGCATCTCGCGATATAACAAAAATTGCAGCAATCGCAGACCAAACAACCATAACTAAACGCTCTCCAGCTAACCCCTAGCGCCTTTCCAGTCACGCTTCAACCCCGTAGTTACACTAATGACCCTCCAGAAGCATATTCAGCATAATATTTCGATCCGTCACAATCGCGGAATTAACTACGACTTACTACGGCAAACCAGCGGAAATTCTCGTGGCCTCATTAAAATGTTCTTGGAGCGTTTCGCATTGCCGTTTTCGTCTTGTAGATGACCGAAAGAACTACGGGGTAGGTCACATTGTATCGGAAACCTGATGGCTGGTGACTCTGATAGTATCAGGTTTTTCATTAGGCGCTATCTATCTCTAAATTTGAATAGAACAAAGCGTGTGAGACTTATCAAGGCCATTATGTGTTGAATCTAGGTTACGTTAGGTTCAAAGTGAGTGGATCTATTCGAACCTTCACCGCAACCCCCAAGGGTTCATTGTGGCTCACACCCATTCACAAAATCATAATCATCATAATCTTTACTTCATCCACAAAATTCATACACAAATATAAACAATAGAAATTACTTACATCCTGCAAGAAATATATCGGACTAGTCAGCTACATAAAAAAGTAATATATCAAAATGTATAGAATGTATAAAGTAAATAAAATGTATACCACAGCCATTATATTAATATTTAATCATCTTAGAATTTAAGGAATTCATCCACCGTGTAGAACATATTGCTG